TGTGTAGTGGACAGGGTTTTGAGAGCTTTGTCTGATCTACAGACATTTAACATCTATCGGCGAGCAAAATTTGCCAAAATATGCTCTCAAATCGACAAGCCATTGAAAGTAACTCTCGCGAATTCTCGCCAAGTTACTCCCCAGTGGTCCAACTCTGACTTCGTTTTTATGGCACTGCAATCTCAATTCCCGCAAGTATCAGGAACTCTATTGGAAATGTAATTAGCCGTACCATAAATCATCTTAAAGATTTACGGGCGTATACAGCCCTGTGTAGTGTAGACAGTTGGTCCCTTGATGGTTTATGACCGCTGGATTACTTGCTGCAGAGGCCTATTCTGGAACACTCCACTCCTTCGCAATAGGATGCAGTCATAAAAACGAACCAGCAGTTGGAGCACTATACCTTTAGAGCGATTTACTTTAGATACTTTATAGGAAAATTATAAGCGACGAGGATAGTAGCTTATTAAAAAAAGTTCGGGCTGCAAAACCAAATATTGCATTTTATTTTATAGAAAAAATTGAATGTAGAAATCACGTACTTCGTAATTATTGTTCCAAAATTAGAGAAATAGTTAAAACAACGAAAGCAGATAAAAATAACAACGTAGAAATGTCATGTAAAAATTTTACCTGCCTTTATCCTTCTTAATGCTATTGCCAGATACTGCAAAGGGTGTTCAAATAAGCTTTAGGTACTTAAAAGGTGCTCTATTGTGTGGGCCATAAATTACAGCTTACCGCCTCAGTTAATATTTTAGGTTGCCTAACTTACCAAAATTTTCCCAAAATGCTTTGCAGTTTTTTTACAATAAAGTAAAGAAGTAAAATTTTAACAGGAAACGAAAAATGGCGCCTAAAGTAGAAACAAATTCCCTATCACCTCGATATTTTTTAAAAGTACACCGAGTTACAGTTTTCGCTAAAAATCCGCTCGGGTTCTACGCACTTTATTTTTTATTTTAAAAACTGCTACGTTTTTTAAAAAATACAAAACTCTTCCTTAAAGATTTTTATGTCATGAGCACGCACATGTATCGCCCTACTCTTCAACTGTTGGAATGAAGGCGCAAAATGGGTTGGCGTTTTGCCTTATTTTGGCATCTTTTAATAACTGCGTGGAAGAGCCTTAATTTAAAAACTCAAAGTGGATTCATTAGCCGCAAGTACAGGAGTATGTTGTATTATAAAATTTAAATAGCATTTACCACGCAAATTTTAAAGTGTTGTCATTAAATTGGGTGGGGAAAAGTTCCACACAATTTGTCAACAATCAGTTTGGTAGTTTTGAAGATTATCTGGCTAATAAAAATCGATACAGACGACAGATAAGCGGAAACAGTAGACCTAATTTTTAAGTTAATTTTTCATTAAAAAACAATTTACATTTACAAAACACAAAATGCAATATGGCGTTGATATAACAACAAATTCTTTATTGACTTACAGAATTTTCGAAAAATCTAACTTCGGTTTTCTCCTCATACTAATTTTGAAGCTACTACAAATACCGCAACTTTTTTCTAATTTAATCCTTTATTTCTCTTCTGTTTTACGAGATCCCACTAGGGGAACATAAATAAATTTCTAATGCAAGGAATTTCAAATCAATAAGCTGGAGTTTACATGAATTTTTAGATATTAAAATTCTGTAAACGCCATTATTTTTAGTTTGAGAGGGAAAGTTTAATTTAGCAAATATGAAGCCTATATGGCGTTGGCGACACGACGCAAACATTTGTTTTTTTAAATTCCAATGTAAATACTGTATTTTTCAACGGATTTTGATAGATTATTAAATTACAATTACAATGATTTAAAACATGTACATATTTGGTATTAATTTTTAACTGTAAAAAATTGCTCTAAGGAGTTTAGAAAGTACTTCCCTCTCTGTCGGAAACGTGACGACTGCATGCCTATTATGTTTTTTTCGCAGTAGATTTCAAAGCATTCGGTTTTGTAGTTCCTGAGTAAATCAATAAAATAAATTTACGCGTTCATTAAATTTTTGGGTCACCCTGTATATACAAATCCAAAATGAATGGAACAATAAATTACAAGTACAGACTCATCATATTTTTGTACATGTTAGATAGGATTTATTCGGCAAACTTTTGAGCTGACGTCATCAGTTTTTTGAAGGGGATAAGCAAATATATTGTGACTAATTTGATTACAATACTTTCTTTGCTTAGGCTCAGGAAGTAAAAATATAAATTTTCCAAGGACAAATATCAAATTGCCTTGGAAACAAATGTACAAACAATTACAGTAGAAATGTTAATTTTTAACGCCAGAAAACTTCAATTACTGCAATATTTATTTATTTGTTGAAAATAAGTCAATTTTTACTTCCCGAGCGTAGGCAAAGGATGTATTGTAATCGAGTCCGTCGGTCGACTCTCTACTTTTACGTTTTCTCGATCTTTCATGACCCCTAGAAGACGAAGAAATAAGTCTCCCATTTCCGTCTGTCTGTCCGTCTGTCCGTCTGTCCGTCTGTCCGTTTGTCTGCCGTCCCGGATTTTTATTAGACAGATAATCTCCGAAAGTGCTGGACCGATTGTTGTGAAATTTTGTACTTATATTAGGAATATCATGTAGATGGTAAAACGCTAACCAAAATTTGTCTAATCATCCCCACCACAAATGCGATGACGTCATTTCAAAATTGTACATAGTAAATGGGTTTTAAATTGTATAAAATTACATAGTCCTACACATGTAGTTTACGACTCCGAATTGAATTTTTACCCAAAAAGTCCAGATTTTTGAAAAAAAAATCAAAATTATAAAACAACATTTTGCAATTTAATTTTGAATCTGCTAACCCGAATGCTTTGAAATGTTACAGATGTTTTGAGGTTATAAAGAGCATCATAAATCTTTAGTCAAAATATATTTGATTATCCCCTCCAAAAACTTGATGACGTCAGCTCAAAAGTTTGCCGAATAAATCCTATCTAGAATGTACAAAATATGATGAGTCTGTACTTGTAATTTATCATTCCATTCATATTATTTGAATTTGCATATATCGGGTGACTCAGGGAAGTACTGTCTAAACTCTTTAGACCAATTTTTTATTTCTAAAAGAAACTTATTATGAAAATTCGGATCGTATATCAGCAGTGGACTGCAGATGTAAATTAGCACTGGATAGGGAAGAGCATAACAAATAAGCAACAATAAAAACGTCAATTAGATGTTAAGAAAGGCGGTAGTTACAAAGACAGTGGAACAAATAGAATAAAGTCCTATCCTAAGTACCATTTCTAGGATTTTCTAAATAAATCAGCAGGCGACAGGCTAAAGGAGGTAGTGTCATAAACTTCGGTACGTTATAATCCGCATTAGGGTCGTCTTTCCTGCTAATTTTTATGATCTTACCTGTGTAGACAATTAAAAATCACCTAGTAGAATCCCTACTCAATAGGCAAGTTGCAGTCCAGGGTTGAGGTCCATCGTTTATTATTGTGACGATACGTAAAAGACTTGTTGAACTTACCTCATTTGGAAGATTAAAATAACCAGATTGGGAATATTCTGAACGCCGACGTCATAATTACATATATGTGTCATATTTGCAATGTACTAAATGCACAAAATCAATCTCCCCCCTTCAAGCTAAAAACAATGGCGTTTACAAAATTTCAATATCACTATCCCTTCTGAAGATATTAGTTTTATCTGGGACACCTGTATACCGCATATACCTTAAACGAGGTTCGTCATTCCGTTTTGTGATTCAGTGTTTAATTGCGTCTTTTAATCGTTAATGAGTGCTTTTCGGACATACCTTACAAGAATAAAAATTGTATTCAATTTAAAATATATACAGGATGAATCGATTCATTTTATTGATTAAATCCGGAACTGCAAAACCGAATGTTCCGAAATTTTGCAGACGTTTTAAAGTTATCGTAAGCACGGTAAATTTATCAAAATATATCTGTTTATCTTCCCCAAAGTTGATGAGGTGATTTATAAAAATTAATGGAAGAGTAAATTTATTTTATTGATTAAATCGGGAACGGCTCACTCAGTTTTTCGAAAATTTGAAATATAATACTGTTATCATTAGTATTACACTTCACCTATCCAAATTGTTATTCACATTTACTTTAACGTAACATACATGTCTTTATTTAAAATTATAAGGCTTCTTTTAAAAAAAATTAAATTCGCATAATCAAAATTTTATAATTTTTCGAAAAAGTTGGATTTGTTTTATTTTATTATATATAGGTTAATGATGAAAATACTATCAATTGTAAAAACAATTACAATACTTTTAAATTAAACGTCATTATAAACCATAGGTACTTTCTCAGCACCCAACGAACTAGAAATGGTCACCAGGGTCTTTCTAGTTTTGATCTTTTTTTATCAAATCTTGAGTTCAAATGATTTACATAAACAGAGAACTAGCTATTAAATACGTAATTAATCGTTGCATTTCCAACATTTTTACTTTATAATTAATCAGCGTTAATTTGATTTTAATTATTTGTTTCATGACGCCATGACTATCTGTAAAGTAAAACATTTTTTGCTGAAGCTCAGAATCAAAGTAGTGTTTAAATGTAATATTATTGTAACTATTTATTATGAAAATTTTTTGACAAACTGGCTAATAACATATTTAGATGTCTCTGAAATTTTCTATGAAGCTGTACTGATTAAATGGTACTCAACTTCTTTTTGTTTATTTATAAAAAAAAATCTAAAAAATACCTAATATTAAAAAGAGTTATTTTTGTTGCATTTTTGCACTTGCAGAGGGTGGGTGCGTGGGGGTGGCCCAACCCTGCCAACCCCTATCGTCCCATTGGCCAAGAGCCGGTGAACTCGCTCCCAAGACGTTGAAAATCTGTAGTCATCATCTAGACAGAGCCTCCCCACCAGAACAAAGTAGGTTACCTCAGTGTACTCAGTATGGATCTACAACAGGTACAGTTATATTCTTGTAGAGGGGACTTCTAGGGGCCAGTGGTATCGAGTAGGGCTTCCACTGTCCAGTAGTGCGTCCTCTGCGGTAAAGAGCACGTCCGTGTTTACCGAAAATTCGGCAAATTTCGGCGACCCAAAAATTTACATAAACGAAGAGAAGAAGACCAACCCCTCTCCAGCCCCGAGTGCCTGCCGATACTACGTGACAACCCCCCAAAGCAGTGCCGCCCCGACTACCGCGACGTCTTCGTAGTTAAGAGTGCCTTCGAATTTTTGGGATTCGCTTTTCGAAAAAATCAGTGTTCGATGTACCGGAAAACAGTGCGTTGATGGGTTGACCCAGAGCGAGCACCAGAAGAACTGCTCGAGGACTTAAACCAATGACACCATAACACACTTATAAATAATTATTTGTGTTACAAAACAAAAACGTATCGAGTGGTCAAAAATCGTTGGGATGTATTTTCGGAAGAAAACGAGGATCCTGCACAAGCCGAAACGGTGATAACAGGATTATTTTCTATTCACAACATACAACTAACCTAAATTGAGTGACACTTGTTCGGACGCAAAAACAATAGACTACAAACGGATGTGCATAGTGTGTTCTCACTTGTTGCGGATATACATCAGTGACCTATTTTTGTTTTACTAATATTGGAATTTACTTGTTTTGGTAAGTACTATCAATCTTTTTTTTTGCGCTCATTTTTTCGACTGTTATCAACCTTGGCCATGAACGCGGCGCGACTGTTTGATTTGATGACAGCGCCATCGGCGGTGATTGACCCGATTAGCGGATAAGATGATAATGAGCCACCCCTTGCGCACGCGAAATTGACCTTTAAAGATACTCGCGCCAAAAATTTTAAACAGATGGAAAAGGGTTTATTGTTCTTGAGGTACAAAGCGTAACAATAGCTTCGACCCGTGTTATTTACGGTGTACCTATTATTCATGCGATGTTAATGTTGGTTATTTGCATGGAATTTATCGATTTTAAGAAACTGGTACATGACAAGATAAAACGAGATTTTCAGATTCGTCAGCACGTTGTTTTTAACATTACGAGTACATTGTGCGTCAGTTTTCACAAATTCGGAGAAACTCTAACTGTATACCTGACCAAATTGTCGAATTTATTTACCGTACCGTCGCTTGTAATTAATGGTAAAATTGGCTATAATAGCATAATGTGGGACTCATTTGAGGTAATTTCAGTTCAAGTTGTAGGTTGATTAGTCAAATTTGCGTTGTGCTATTTACCACAACACGTCACGTGTTTGTCGAATCTACCAGTCTTTTCCTAGAAGTACTCGTTCAGTACCAACTTTCCAACCCATTAATTCTCGCCGTAAAGGGCAGGAAGTTAAAGCTCAGTGATTCGCAGAAATCCTAATCCCTGTAATTACACGTTTAGAAGACTTAGCAACATGAGGCCCATTTCAAACGTCTCGTGTCTGTCAAGTCATGTTGGCGCTTAATTCGACATTTCGCTACAATAGTGTCAAATGTCAAAAGTAATTCCAAGCACACTTTGATGCTTTGATTAACGGCGCGCCGTCACGTGACGCAGATTGTATAAGGCACAATTCTCAATTATCTCGTTTATTGAAAAAAGGTAAAAGATTTGTAAAAGGAAAAGTGTTACCGTATTTAGTCCATGAACAGTGAAAGTGTTTTTTCAGGAAAATGTTTGAAATTTCGCGTGTTGGTACAAAACGTTAGAACAAAAACACGGCTCGAGTGAAATATTTAGGCAATATAAAAGTTTCGCAGATTCCGGTACTTCGTCAATGTAAAGTACGTCGCAAGGAATCTCGTTCTCAGATTTATTGCATTCATCGCCATGTCGAAATGCATATAGGCCATATCGTTTTACTAAATAACAATAATGAGAACATAAATTTAAATCAGTTGTATCCGACCTAGCACTGGTTTACAAGGTGCTAAGGTCAAATACCTGTATCCTCAATTTATTATTTTTAGACTTATTATATATTTTAATTCGAGTTTAAAACAGTTTTTATTGTTGGTTTATGCGATTGGGTGTTTTGAGAAAACACAGTTAACTTATAGAAACAGTTATATGTGCGTTTGTTAAAACTGAAGATCCGCTCGAGTGTTAGTTTTGTCGGTGCGTTACTGTTAAAAAAATAGATCCGTTCTAGTGGACGATGTTGGATTTGTTAGCACTCTGTAGTAACCTTTGTTTCGACTAGATGGTACACAATTATTTAAAAAATTAGAATAGATAATATTGCGAAGTTTGTTAAGACAGAAGTTTCCAATATCGCATCTCAGTGTTTAGTCCAGTTGATTAGCTTTTCTAGACAGATGGTGAATAGCGGCATGAAGTAAACATACGTATTAATAAATTTCTCTTCTTTAATGTTTACTTACTAGTACTTCAAATAGCCTTGTTTTGCGGACATTTCAAGATGATAAACGAGAAAATGTACAAATACTTAGAATACATTGTTTTGGTAGAATGAAAACATGTCGTTGTTTTGTGATTTTTTCATGTTTTACCTAACAATGTTTCGTTTATCTGTTTATATCTAGTCGGAAATAATATACCTAATATCAAAATATATTTTTTTGAAGACTCTTATTTCAGAACGAAAAGTGTCTAGAACAGATTGCAATAATTTAACGTGTTCTTCTCATAATACTTATACTCTAAGTCCTAAAATAAGCTCGGATATTGTTAGAGCCAATTTTATTATTACAGTAAAAATACTGGTACTGTTTCTGCGATTACTATTCTTTTCAGGTATTAATTGTAATTTGTTATTATTTTTCTTTTTTCCCCGTTAAGTTAAAATGGAAAAAATACATAAGCATTTTTTTGCAATTTCTGCATTTTTAAAGCTACTGTTGGATATTAAATTACCCGTAGTTTGATATCAGGGAACATTTTCCTTTTTACGAGCTTTCATAAGCTTTGCTACATATTTATACTGTCGAGTGAATTAAACATGGTGAAGGCGCAAAATGTCGTATATAAAAAATTGTTAAAATTGTTAACCAGGAAGTGTGAAAATAAAATACTCAAAAGATAGAATGCTGTCAAAGTTTAGAAGTTAAATTAACTGAAGCAGTTTATGTAAATGTAACAAACGCATTCACAGATCAGATATTTTAGTCATACAGGTGTTCCAAAAACGACGTCAAAGCTCAGTGTCAATTTAATTGTAAAAATTGTCAAAAACGAAATCTGTCGACAGTAAAAAATGACGTTATGGATCGTATTCTAGCGAATTATTATTAAATCATTTATAAATAAGTATTTAACGGTCTATTAGAGATGTAATTCATTAAATAAATCAGAGCTACGCAGTTAATTTTTCAACTTTGTAGTTTAATATTTTTAAAAGTTTGACGCAGGGATTTTTTTTAACTTTTTTTCGAGTTCTTCAGGGCCTTCTTAACAACGCATCATCGAGCGTTTGCGTCATTTTTGGAAACCCGATATATAATTTTAATCAAGCTTGTGTATCCAAAAATTTTGTTTTTTTTTCTATAAGACTTCGCGGTTTTATTATCTTAAATAATGTCTACACATGTTTTGTTTATAGCTTTTTTAATAAAACACATATTTTTATACATTTTCATTGGGCTCTTCCTAGGCTTTACAGCTGCAGCTTATTTTTGAATTCCCATGCGACGTTGTCACGTTTTTCCAATTTACTTGAATTTTTGTGGCAATGGAAGGGTTCAGAAAAAAAATTGCAATAGGGTCATAATATATAGGGTGTTTATAAAACAATTCTAAAACGATACAGTTTTCAAATAGAACACCCTGTATTTTATTACTATATCTTACTCTATTTTTTGTTCTCATTCTTTTAATATGTCGATGTGTCTCTTACAAAGTAAAAAATCACTTTAAATATAGAAAATACATCACAAAAACAAAGCGAACAAAAAATAGTAGAAGCTGCTGTATATAAAATATAGGGTGTTCTATTTGAAATCCCACAAATATCGATATTTAAAAACTGTAAAAATGAAAAAAAAATTATAAACGTCCTGTATATGAAAACTTCAATTCAATTATACCACAGCAAAACGCGTTTCGTTATTTATTTTTACAGAAAATATTGTAACACAGATACTAAGAATAATCCTACAGCGATTTTTATTTTGAACCCTTCCATTACTAAACACTTTCAAGAAAATTAGAACAACGTGGCAACGTCGCATCGGTATTGGTATTTTAAAAACAAACTAGTTGCAAAGCTTGAGAAAATTATAAATAATATATGTAAAAGTATATAGGATGTTTCATTTAATAAAACGCGCTTCATCTGTATATAATTTGAACAAACTGATTTTTTTTTCAAAACAACTTTATTCAATTTTTTTTTTTTTCTATAAGACTATGCTGTTATTTATTACATTAAATACTGTCCACCCAAAAATAAAACAAAAAAAAATACGAATACTAACTTGTAGTTGGCTATGTTTATGCATTTTAGTGGCGTGTTCTGGTCGAAGTGCCAGCACAAAATTTGATCAATTATTAATAATCATCCGGTATTAAAATACATATTATCAAATATTACATATTGTGTTAAGAAGATATACTGAAGTGAGCACAAATTATATCACTTAAAAGTTTTTGTATTTGCTTTTAGACTATAAACGTTTTAAAATTATAAACCTTCACCTGTCATCTTTGATTATACTTCGTTTATTCCCGTGATGTGACACCTTGTAAATAAGTAATTCGCACCAATTCTACAATACTTTTATTTGTCAGTTTAATCTACGATTTAAGAGGGAATAATACATATATGTATGTCTTAAACGTGATTAAACGTAATGCTAATTTTATACGTCAACTTACCAAAGTAAATGAGCTGTAGCAAACTGTACATTAAACATCGATGTAAAGTAAAAGTTAAAGTACTTATTTACATGGAAGTAAAAGTTTGCACACATTTTATTAAAGTCTTAAACATTCAGATCATTACTTAGATAGTGATCAAATTATACTTGTACAGCGTCACGTACTTGACAGAAGATGGTCTTTGAAGAAATTTTTTTGTAGGTACATACATAAAAATCCCATCGGGTAATTGAACTACTGTCGCCAAATTTTATACGTGCTCACTATATTGCGCAGTTAAAGTTATATAAAGTTGTTGAAAAAATATACTCTTGTATTCGTGGTTTATGAATCCTCCATGATTTTTGTCACAATTACTTTACAAAATTTTTCTCGGTTCTGCATCAAGTACTTGGTCCAGGTGGTTAAATGGCTGATTTCGTTAATAAATAAAATTTTGCAAAATCAAATTTTATAATTTTTTGAAAAAAAAAAAATTTTTTGATATAAGAAAACGTCACGAAAAATGCATGTGTTTTTTTTTAAATCCAGACCTACTGTTGGGTTTAATTGACAGTTGATTGAGTTGTTGAAAAGTGTTAATTTTGTTATCCAAAAAGTGAGGTTAGGTTGTACCGTGATTATATACATTTATGAAGCAGAACTACTAAGTTCATTTTTTACATTTCAATATAGGGTAATACCATGCTTAGGGACATGTGGTAACAAATAGCACCAACTTAGTATAAAAATATTTATTTACTATAAATTAAGACATTATGTTTAATAACAGTTATAATTTTTCAGCCAAGATGTACTTAATAGTTTAAACGTCCTCC